GCCACCCCACCACCACCATCTAGTCACAATTGTTGAAGCTTCTTGGATGAAAAGTGAAATGTTTTCTTCCTCAAGGAAAAACAGTCCAGTTGCCTTTTGAAAAAGCACCGACAACTTTGACCTGGATGATTGAGAACCTCCACAGACTTTTTAAGCAGCTTGATTAAAAAGCGGCTCTTCACTACAAACTTTTTGTGTTTACCTTTTCTTTCTCTGTGTTTGGTATCAAACAATGGCATTTACCTGAAATGGGTAGAGGTGCCTTAGGTAGAAAGATTTAGGTAGGAAGTTTTATTTCACTCCTTTATTAGCCTTCCTGAGGTTGATTCTCTGTTGATGTATTAGAAAAGACTAAATATAGAATGGTTTTATGGTAAAACTGGTTAAATTATTTTAAACTGTTTTAAATGGTTTATGTAGTTAAACAAACAATAAACACTGCATTGCTAAAGTTATAAAGTATCTGGAGATCAAATTTCAACTTTCTTTAAATGGATTTTAGGGTCTCTAAATATGTTTAAAATCAAGGGGGCATTGCAACAGCTGATCAGCAGAAAGCCTATAGATCTGTTCCTGTCACTTACTCTTTTTGGTCTGATATTATCAGCTGCCTCACTCAGAAATCTTCAATTCTCCCCACACTTCAGAACATTCTAACTCATAAATGAAATTCTCATGGCTCCATAATATCTGAATAATAATTTGGGTGAATTTACCAACGAAGTTAAAGTTTAGGGTGAATAAATCACCCTTTTTAAATAGAATATTATTGAAGTGGAATATGTGCATACTTTTAGTAAAATCTGAAATAATGCCATCTACCTCTGACTTAAGCAGTCATATACTGTTATAATATATAAAAGTATATTGGTGAAAAATACATTGTTGATAAAAACACATTTACCTCAAGTCACAATAAAAATTGTAGTTAAAAATGCACACAGAAAACACAGTTTTGCTTTGTGATTGATAAATTAAGAATAAAAACTAATTTTATGGCAGTTATTAATCTTCAATAATAAAAACATGAACCCCTCCCTCTCCCAAAGGAATCAGATCCCAAAAATGATAGACATATACTTTCCCCTAATAAAGCTTTTATCAATTGGAACAAGTTATGGTAAGGTTAATCATAACGTTATGGGTATAGTTTAATAACTTAACAATTATATGATTGTATGTAATGCAATATGAGAAAAAAAACCTAATTTGAATATGATGGTTGATTATTTTTCTCAATATCCAATAGAATAAGAGCCAGACAGCACCCCAGGTTTTTTTTATTGCTGACTTTCCAGTAGCTATTTTAATCGTATTACCAGTCTATTATTCAAAAAACAATCTCTCTATAAAGCTGAGCATCACAGAACAATGTAATCTACAATTACAGAAAACCAAAAGATGAAAATATCTCTTTATAACTGATCACTATGCACACAACTCAAGAGGCCTCACACTGTCAACATTCTTTTTCCGAGGAAAAAACAGTTCACTACCAACCACATAATCTCTTTTGATGTCCTTTTCTTAAGGACAGATTCTATGGCTGCTTCCATTTCTCATAGTAAGCTGAATTTTATTTATCAGCTCTTCAAGTGTGAAAGTTTTAAGGATAATGTATAACTACTAACATTATTTCAATGCACACAACACCCATGAATTCCTATTCAGACTTGAAAGTACCAATGGATCACTGGAACATATCTGGAGCATAACATGAAACTATTTCTCAGTATGATTAGAATGAAAAATAAATTGTAGTATATAACTATTTGGTCATGGTGAAGGCCTTAATAACAGTAATGAGGTCCAATAAAAGGGAAACTAAAGAGTAGAAGAGTTAAGCTATATTTAATATAGAAGCTCAACATGAAGACAGTGTTTAGTTCCAGAGATCAGTTTTGAAATATTAAAAACCAAGCCTGGATTGCTTGACTCTGCTCCATAGGAGCAAGTTTGGGAAGAAAAAGCATGAAGATGGATGTTATGTCCTTGTCCAAATTCCCTTTGGTTTTTCATTACATAAAAGAGGCGATAGTGAGCCATGCCCCTCAGTCTATAATTTACAGAAGGAATTATATTAGTGTACACTAATGGGAAAAAAATAAGTACTCTCTCTGGATAAATAATGATTATGCTTTTTTAAACATACCATAAATTTAAATGAATGCTGTGGATGGGTGTGAATACATAGAGCTGTGTGTGACATCAATCTTTAGTTTGTATATTTATTACTATTGCTTGCATGCGTGGACTTTTTATATTGTTATAAGATGCCTTTTTATGGAAAAAAAACCAAATGATCAAAGTGTTCTTTGGGTGAGCTTCACATAAGAAAAAAGAAGTGTTCTTTTTTAAAAAAAAAAGCTAGGATGCAAGCAACATTTCATTCAAATGTAATTCAGACATCAAGTAGCTGGTTTTTGTTGGGTTGTGATTACAATTAATCTTCAATTTACAACTCCAATTGAGGCCAAAATTTATGTTGCTAAATGAAATGGTTGTTAAGTGAATTTTGTCCCATTTTATAAACTTTCTTGCCACAGTTAAGTGAATCATTATAGTTGTTAAGTTAGTAATATGGTTGTTAAGTGAATCTGGCTTTCCCATTGACTTTGTTCATCATAAGATTGCAAAAGGTAATCACATGATCCTAGGGCACTACAACCATCATCAATGTGAGTCAGTTGCCATACTGCAAAAGGTGATCACATGACCATGGGGATGCTGCAATGGTCGTGAGAAAAACTGTCATATGATTATTTTTTTCAGTGCCATTGTAACTTCGAACAGTCATTAAATGAACTCTTGTTAAAGGACTACCCAGAGTAAGAATTGCTTTTACTCTTTTTGGGGGGAAATGTTCATATTTGCGAAGAGAAAGAGAACTGAGGTTCTGGTTCTGAATTTGTTCAAATCAAGAGCCCCACTAGACTATAGGGGGTTACCAGTGGACAGAAACACCAAGTCACTCCAACTTTTTCTTCCTGTCTGAAACAAGGGAAGCATCAGTTCAGTCATATATGCTCTGCCAATCTTTGACATGCTTCCAATTTATTGCTTTAACATTTGATGTATAGTTCTTTATGTGCTTTGGACAATAGTGCTCTGTCTTTACCTCTCATTAAAAATGCGTAGTAGGAGAAAAAGTAACAGTAAGTGGAAAATTCTAATTTCGACAGACAATGGCTAAATTTGAACTTCTTTCTAATTTGAAAATGACTGCTGTTATTTAGATTGAAATAGATTGAAATCTGCAGAGATTTGTTTTTCAAAATTGAGAAACTGCAGCTCAAGGTTGTGTTTATGCAACATAGTTACCCACATTTAAATACACCATAGTTGATTTAATAGATTCAGTTTTGGAGGTTCACACAAGATGTTGAGCTAGCTATAGACTGTCTTTACACAGCACATTTAATGTATGCTAAAACTGAAGTTGTTATTTTGTGATGCTACATGTTACGTGAATTACTATGTATCGATTTATATACTTGCACATGTGCTTGTATACAACAAAGAAACAAGTAACTAAAAAGTAAGAATGTTTTCAAATGTTGTGATATGCATTTTGCTGGCCACAATTGTGGTGCAATTATTTCATACACACGCCCAGGAAATGTTTAAAGATGCAGAACTTCTTTGTCAGGAAAATGTGCTTTTGGACACCTACCAACTGTTCATTCATGAAAGCTTTTTCCTCTTACATACATTTCTTTCCCATCCCTTCACCCTTTTATTGACAGGGCAGTGTCTATATGTTCATTATCAAAAATTATTTAATCAATGCACGTTACAGCTATGAGTCTAACTTCGTTTTTGAGAAACAGAGTGGAAGTCAACAGGATTTTAGTATTTGCTTCAGACAGTGCTGTAAATGTTAGGATGCTTTTCAAAAGACAGATGCACTGATGAAAATGGACTTTAAACTCAATCCAAAGTTCTTAAGGATATAGAAGCCACATCGCGTCAGACAAAAACTTTATCAACTCCATCAATCTATAGGCTGCAGTGGAGGATGGAAAGAGATGATCTAAGGCTAACATAACATCTCAGCCCCATATTTTTGTGATACTTTGCACAGAAATTAAAGGCACGCATGCAGAGAACTATGAGAAGGTTCAACTTTTTCTTCTGATTTTGCCTGCTAACGCTATCCCAAAAGTGCTTTTTCAGGAGGCAACTAGATTTTCTTGTTTTTTCTTTTGAAGACGTTTTGCTTCTTGGATGAGAAGCAAAACATCTTCAAAAGAAAAAAACCAGAAAGTCCAGTTGCCTCCTGAAAAAGCATCTTTGGGACAACCATGACCTGGATGATTGAGAATGTCTACAGAATTTTCCCTTAAATGGACAAAAGGACAATATTTGCAAGAAGTCAATGAAGGAAGTTTTCTTTGGTAAATATTTTCTTCTCTCCTGAATTTTAAGATTCTCAGCAAATACAAGCTTAGAAACACGCCATTTGCTCAGAAATTATTCCCTTAACTGCTAAGGTTGGGCACCAACTTGCTTGAAAATAAATACTTTGCATACGACGCTAACCCACGGTAAATTAAGTTATAGTTTAATAACTTAATCTCATTGTCTGGATTGGTATAATAAATGGAACTATAAACTAACCACATAGCCGTGGTTCATACAAGCAGCTAATCTAAAATATGCTTGGCTAGTTAGCAGTGCAGTCATGAACAGTTCTAGCGTAATTTACTTCTGTGCAAAGGTGGCATATCTGTCTAAAGCAACACAAGATATTGTTTTTTAGACTGAATAGAGCAGTCAGCTTTATCCTATCCAATTAGTTTTCAAGTATATCTTGGTATTTTTAAGAAATATATCCCTGGTAAACATGCTGAGAACTGCATCTTTCCTTGCTTTTAACTAGTTAGCAAAATCAAGACTGGTTTTTAAAGAGGAGTATTGGAAAACTGTGTAGGAGAGTACACTTAATGCACCCAGGAAAAGAAAAAAGTTATCATTTTTAGTTATGGTTTAGTGTTCAAATTCAGTATTTACTGTTTATTGTAAAAATCACAATATACATTCTCGGTAACGTTCTATGAAATAAACAGGAGTGTTTGCAACCAAAAATAACAGGTACATTTATATACAACTGATTTTTGACCAGCTGAAATATAGTCCATAGAGACTGTTGCATCAAAGTGATATTGGATTATCAGATATGCACAATAAGCAGCTATGGAAAATATATGAGGAATAAGTTATTAAACTTTCCAAAAGGATAGTTCAATTTTGCAAGGGAAGAAAAATTAGTATCACCCAAGTGCTTTCCTTTCCCTCCCTATTTTTTCTAAATGAAATGTTAAACTTAGTAGTAACATTAACACAAATAAAAAAATCTATGTATAAGTTAACTCCTGTTAATGACAGTTGCAACTCTGAGTTGCTAATTTCAGCCACTTTACATCTTAAAGTTCCATAAAGAACTTTATTTCTCAAATCAAACATTCATCTGATAGGTTCATCTACCTGGTAATACTATAGTTTTAATAATCACAGGGTTTAAATCATTACAAGTCTTTCCTCTCTTTTCTTCCATCTAAAAATAATGCTATTAATCATTTTACAAGTTTTTTTCTTTGACTGCTAAACTAAATACATGAACTGAAAATCCAGAATATCCCTTTTACTTTTTTAAAGTCTACTAAACCTGAAGACCTTTTCTGGTCTATGATACATTGTCAATTCTGAGTTTTTTAAAAATAAATGCATATACATTTCAAGCACAAATACTCATATTCTTTATCCGATTGTAAAATATACTACAAAGGGCTATTTTTTGGTAAGGAAGTATCATGATCCACTTTTGGTATGCTTGACTAACTTTTTCACCACCAATTATTTTCTTGTAATAAATTATCTAAAAACAAATCCCAAATTACCTAGTTCTTCGTTTTAGATGGAGGACCATTTTAAGATGTGGAAAGTAAACTCTCTAATTTTCAAACAAAGCGAAATCTACACAGCAAATAAGGAAGGAAAGGATCCACTATACTGCCAAAGTTATTTAGAACTTAAAAAGTTTCATGACTACTAAAGCATTTGGACTTTCTTTAAAAAAAAATGCCCTTCACCATTACTTCCACATTAAGTAAAAATAGTTTACATGTCACCAAACAACACACCTTGAAGTAACAGATAAAAATATAGACCATCGATTCCAATCAATTTACTTGTAATATACAACTTGGGAATGTGTATTTTTTTTAAAAAAAAAAAAGAGTAGAAGAAATCTTCGTGTAATGATTATAAAGGGTGAGAAAAAAAAAATCCCCTCGGGAATTGAGCGATTTCGTGGCATTTTTTTCCTTTCCAAATCCCATTTAGACAAACTTTCCGGGTATTCCTGCCTGTCGAAAAAAACCCAAACAAAACGCCCCAAGGCCCCGGGCCAGGTTTTTATTGCAGAGGGCCGGCCTCCTCACTCCCCTTCCTCCAAAACTGGGTCCAGAGCAGTCCAATCCAACCCCATCCCCCACCAGGCTGAGGACGTGTGGCTATGCTTTGTGCACAGTACTACGGAGAGGCAACCAAGTGGGGGGGGCGAGGCGAGGGGGGCCTCCCCCCTCACAACCTGAAGGAGGCTTCGGAAAAGGGATGCTGCATCTTGAAACTAGACAAGAAGCACTGAAGAGGCGGGGGAAGGGGGTTCACGAGGGACGGCGGGAGGCTGGGAAGAAAGAAATCATCTCCTCTGACCTCTAGCGAAGTGCCAGGTTTTTTCTTTAGCTCTTCACATTTCCTAAATTTGCAGATCTGGTGTCCCGTTTTGCGGTTCCTGCAACTGCTGCAGACTCCACAGTTGATGAGCCTCTTGCAGGGCACGCAGACCCCGCACCTTTTCCTCTTCTTCTTGGCTGGGTTGCCGCCGCCCCCTCCTCCTCCTCCCGCGCCGCCGCCGCCGCCCCCTCCTCCTCCTCCACCACCACCCCCGCCGCCTCCTCCTCCCCCTCCTCCGGCGGCTCCCAAGGAGGAGGACGACGAAGAGGCGGAGGAATGGCTCTGCGGGCAGTCTGCCAGATTGGCAATTTGAAACGCGCTGTCTGTGACGGCTGCTGAGGCTGCTGCGGGGGAGTGCAGGGCTGTCATGACGATGACCCCGGGAGGTAATGAGATGCCCCCTAAAGCCGGGATAGCGGAAAAAGTCCCCACGCGCTCGGGGAGATTCATTATCTCTGCTTCAGCAGCGCCGCATTTGAGCTTGTTCATGCAGTCCCCAGCCAAAGGTCTGCAGTGTTCCGGGGCTAAGGTGGAGAGGAAATTATTATTGGCCATTTGCAACGAGGGCTGCTCGGCTGGCGCGCAGCCAGGCTTGCCGAGCCGCTGGGACTCGTTCCGATGGTGTAAACTCCCGCCGCCGCCGTTTCCGCTCCTGCCGGCGGCGTGCAGAGAAGAGGCGGGCGACGAAGCCGGCGGGGGCGCTGCGACCGACGAGGCGGCGGCGACGGCGGCTGCTTTGCGGGCCACGCCGCCGGCGGCAGCGGCCGCCGGGTTAGGCCCGCCGACGCCCGCTCCCCCGCCTCCTGCGCCGCTGCCCCACAGCATGGCGGTGGCGGCGGCCGCCGTGGCCGTGTCGCAGTTCCACGGGGACATGCCGATGCGGGCGGCGGCGGCCGCGGCGGCGGTTGGGAAGATGGGGGTGGTGATGCGCGCGATCTTGGCCGCCTGAGGGAAGGCCCCGCCGTTGGTCTTGTAGAAGGTGGCGAAGGAGCGGTAGCGCTCCATCTCCGAGTTGTAATCCACAAGGCTGTTGAGGGCACCGTCGGGCAGGTGGTTCTCCTTGGGCAGCCCCGGCGCCTCGGGGTTGGGCCCCGTCTCCACGCACACGTTGGTGTTCATGGTGCCCAAGGGGTGCGGGTGGGCTTGGGGCAACAGGGCGGGAGGGAAGGAGGAGGAGGAGAGGAAGGGGGGTCCGGGGAGGGCCAGGGGAGGGAAGGGCAGGGCCGGGAGGAGGGCCACTGGAGCCGTCGGGGGGGCGGAGACGGGGGCGGGGTGGCCGGAGGGGTCGAAGGGAGGGGAAGGGAAGGGGGGGAAGCGGTATCCTCTAATCCTCTTGCGGGGGCATCTCTCCAGACGGCGAAGTCTCAGGCAGCCGGCTCTTCCTTGGCATTCTCAAGCCCGGGCACCGTCGCCACTGAAATAAAGAGAGTCATTTCGGAAAAGGTCTACGCCAAAGGGGGGAGGGGAGTGGGAGGAGGAGGAGGAGGAAGGCTGGGGAGAGGGCGGGGAACCCGCTGCGTTTGTGTGCTTTTGTTTTGGTTCGGTTAAAAAAAGACCCACAAGACACGCAGAGAAGAGGCGTACATCAGTCATTGCAACTCATTTGCATAACAATCAATAAAGACATGATCGGGCCACCGCAGCCTCCTCCCTCTGTGCCCTCCCCCCCCCCCCCGCGCGCGGGCGGGCTACCCTCTCTTGCCCGCTTTAATAGCTGAGAAGAACAGAGGAGGGGAGGGGAAGGAAGGGCCAACAAATGCCAAGGGAGAAAGGGCAATTGGAGGGCTAAACACATGCAAATGATGGGTAGCGAGAGGCTCCAAATCCCTCTAACTGGAGGGTATCTGAACGTTAGAGAAGGGAGGGGGACAAGCCAGGGAGAAGAGGTGGAGGAGGAAAACCATCAAATAAGAGGGCAGGGGAGGGAAAACGAGCATTCTCGAGGGGCTAAAAAATCACAAAAGTATGGTAAGGCTCCCCCTGTGCCCCTAGGAGCCTATCCCTCCTCCTCGGTGGGGTATATAGTGGCACAGATCTTGATATATTGGAAGATGGAGAGATTTGTCGGCTGCCACTTTGTCCTTTGGGTCTGGATCTCAGCAGAATTGGAGTTAGGCATCTCAAAGGCAGGGCTCTTGGTGAAGGCGATGCCCTTTCTGAGGCAGAAATTAACCGCCAAGTAAATGGGGCCAGGGAAAAGATAGGAAAACAATTTCCAACTAAACCAAATCCTGATCGGTTCTAAACAGGTTTAATCTCTAGTCAGGAAGGCTTCAGACAACAGGCTCTCTTGTTCTCTGCACAGGTCCATCCATACCTGTGGATGTATATGACAATAAATTTGTGTGTTTTTGACACACTTAAATGGGCTCAGCAAAGTTTTGTTATCTTTAACCATGATTGGGTTTTTTTTATGGCATTGTGTGTTGTGTGAACCCAACCTTTTTGAGTAATGTATGGGTAAATTTATCAGTCAAGTTAAGCACTGAACCCAGGTTTATATTCATTTAAAAATAGGCATATGCCACCTCATAGAGATTGGAAGTGTCGTTCTTAAGGTTTTTGAAGGCATTACCTGTTCAGTTGTAATACAACAATCTATAGGCTGGAGGATATTACGGAGTTTATCACTCCCAAATCATATACTTAAAATAATTGTTGGGAGGATTTTAGTTTGCAGGTCAGACCAAGTTGCAATATTTAGAAAGTAAAATAAAGCATTAACCCAGTTGAATACAATAAATATATATCCTGATTTTTTAAAAAATATGGATATGTATGTATGTATGTATGTATATAAAAACAGGATATTTTTTACAGTATTGTAAATTAAATGCAGAGACAGTCTGGATGGCCTAAAACAGCTTTCACACCATTCCTACAGGTAAAAAGTACCTATCAATTATACTAATTACTATCATAATTAGACCAATGAACTATTTCTACCCAAACCTACCAGCTACAAAAGCACATAGACATCTAGCTGAACCTTACTAAAAATCTATGGTTGGGGAAACTAATCAAGAGGAAAGGAAAGCAAACCTAAGAAAACACACCTCGGTCTTGTTAGACTAGGCAGGAGGTCAGTCTGCACCCTTGAATGCTTAAAAGACTTTAATGAGAACACAGCCACCTTTCCATTTTCACAGCAGGAAAAGAAAAAGAATTTTTTTTAAAAAAAACCATTGCTCCCTGGAGGGATTTGGTGGCAAATCCTACTATTGCCTCCCCCCACACAAACACGATTGCAGGTCACCATGCATAATAGAATACTTTAAAAAAAAACACTATTTAAAGGAAACTATAGCAACTATTTAATAGAAGTAGCTTTATTGAGTAAGGGCAGTAAAGCACTGGGTTGGCAAAAGGTTCTAATGTTGAATGTGAAGGGGGAGGGTGCAGGCTATGGAGACTTGCACGTTCATGCCCTATTTTTCACAGCCTTAAAGTGGCTTTGCTTTCACAAATGCTCTTTCCTACCATTCCAACCTCTTCTTTCCCCTCAGCAGCAGCCCCCCCCCCCAATCTCCTTGCAAGGTTTATGGCTACCAGAAAGGTGTGTGGGGGGGAAATATAATGGTGCCACCAACCATGTCATTATTGTTCAATCGATGTTATCTCTGGAGCTCGAGAGAAATCTGAAGCGCAGCTATTGATTTTTTTTTCCCCCAATATTAAAAGTATAGCCATTTTAAAAAGAAAATTAAAAGCAGAATCCACGGATTTTCTCACTGTTTAAATCAATGTGACTGTTCATGTTCAATACTGCATTTCTGTTCTGCTACAGACAGAGAGATCAAAGGTCATATTTAACATTCAGGAGGAGGGGCTGGTGCAGATTAATTAATAAATTAATAGAGCAGCGCCTTTCATTGCTGAAGCTTAGCATTCATCTACTTTAACAATCCCAGCAGTCCAAGAGGCGGAAAAGAGAGGGAGCGAAAGAGCGCGCATGAAGGGGGGAAGGGAGAAGAGAGAAAGGAAGGAAGAAAGAAAGAACCAAAAACAATCACTTACCAGTCTCTGTATTGGGGGGGGACTGGGGGCTTGGATTTGCAGACGTTTAACCCGCCTGTTTGTCTTTATTTAGTTGCACATCACTCCCTAACACAAAGGAAAAGGTAAAAAAAAAAAAAACACAGAAAAGAAAAATATCCCGAGGTGTCTTTCTTTGGCCGCTCCTCAATTACAACTTTGATACTTGTAAACAAACTGTACAGGGCGGTGATGCGGGTTGGGGGTGGGGAGGCTTGGTGGGAAAGAAATAAAGACTCCGATCCACTAAGCAAATACCTGTAAGTGCCTCTTTTTTTCTGGTTGCAGAGAAAGGAGGAGGGAAGGGAGGGGGGAAAGGAAAGAGCAGGCACTGAATGTGTGAGAGAGAGTGTGTGTGTGTGTGTGTGCGCGCATGAATGTGTGAGAGCGCTTGGCGGCGGCGGCGGTGCTCGGTGGTCTCTCCCTGCGCGCTGCGCTCCGTCCGTCTCTCCTGTCGCTGTGTGCGATGGAGGGAGGGTGGCAGCCGGGGGACTCGCTCTCCCCCTCGCTGTTTGTGCGTGCCTGCGTGTGTGTGGTTGCAGGAGGAGGGGAAGGAAGCGAGGAGGCGGAGGGAAAGGGCGGGGGGGATGTGTGTGTGCGAGGAGTGAGAAGGCTCCGCAGCGCCCAGGAGGTGAGGAGGATGAGGGGATGTGGACACCTACTGATGATTGGCTGCAAATTACACCGGGAACAAGAGGCGCGCACGGGCCACTGCTCCTCTTTCCCCTCACACATCCCCTCCCCTCCCCTCCCCTTTTATTCCTCCCCTCCTCCGACGCAGCGAGCGGCCACATTTCGCTGCCCCTCCTCTTTCGGCCGGGAGAGGGTGGGGAGAGAAAGCCGCCTGGAGGCTCATTTGTAAGGAGCCGCCACTTGCCGCGCACTCCAGCCTCTTGATTCCCCCATTCACTTCCCTCCGTGCGTGCGTGCAGAGAGCGCAAGGGAAGCCGGGGAGGGGAGGGAAGGAGGAGGAGAGAGGGCGGCTCTTGGCGGCTGCTGGGTGGCTGCCGAGGGAAGACTTAGGCGGGAGAGAGGCGAGAACCACCAGCCTCCCCCCGCCCGACCCCAGGGAGCGGGGAGGTCCTTGTTGTTCCGCCAAGGATGCTTTCTGAGAGCGCCCTCTTCGCCTCGCTCCCCACGCAACTATGTGACGGGGGGCTCCGGGAAGGAGAAGCGCTGCCTCTTCAGTGGACCAGGAGAGGTCGGTGCGCGGAGTCGTCTTCCGAAAAGCTCTCGACAGCCCCCGAATTCCAGGCGTGGAAAAAAGGAAGGGAGCGGGAAGCTAGTAGGAACAGGAGATCCCCGGCGGGCGCTTTGTGCCAAAGGTGCATTTGGAGACTCCCGATTCTCCCGCGGTGCCTCGCACCGGAGAGAAGGCAAAGGCGACGCGAAAAGAAGCGTTTGGGTTTTTGTTTTGGCTGGTTTTGCAGCTGTCGTTCACCTTGCCGTTGAAATGCCAAGGCTAAGCGTTTCAGCCAGCCTGAAATGCAAAGGCGTCTCGTGGCGAGTTATTGGGAAGCGAAAGTTGTGAAGGTGATAGTGACCCCTGGCTAAGGCAAAAGTAGCCAAGTTTAGTACCCAATAAACAGCCCCGCGCTTATGGTGGTAGTTCAAAGGTGCGTGCTTGCCTCTTCAAGCGAGGTTGGCAGTTTTCATGGTTTCACTGAATCAAGTTGTTTATTTTAATTTTGAGAAGAATCATGAATATGATAACTATAGAGATTAATCTTTAGGTTTTCTTTTATGCCCCCTTTTGAAAGCCACCTGGCAACATTTACATGACCTTGACTGATAACTGCTAAGCAGACTTCAGAAAATATTAAATATTAATATTAAAGATAGTAGATTATGAAGGAAGCTGAAAAATAACAGTCCAGAAGGCAAAGACAAACTTTCTGCATTAGGAAGTCAACAGCGGTCAGACTGAATGCCTAGGAAGCTTTATCTCGGCTTAAATGCAAATTAAATTAAAATGATATACTAGTCAGTTATTTCTGTTTACAAAAACAAGCTGATTTCAGAATTGAGTAGAATAATCTTTATACTACTAAAATACTGTGCCAGTAACCTTCAGTTGAACAAAATTGGAAGATAATAGAGCAAGGTAACTCAAATGGACTAA